CAATCTCCGAAAACCCAAGATTGCATCAACTGACAAAGTTTGATGATTTTAGGTCAATAAGTACCAGAGATACTTAATTATAGCCACAAAATGTCAAAAGTAGGTCACCATGACCTACTTTTTAATCGTCACTCTCTGAAAACCCAAGATGCATCAACTCACAAAGTTTGATGATTCTAAGCCAGTAAGTAGCAGAGATACCTAAATAAAGCCATAAAACGTCAAAAGTAGGTCACCGTGACCTACTTTTTGGTCGTTACTCTCCGAAAACTAAATATGCATCGACTCACAAAGTTTGATGATTCTATGCCAATAAATACCTAAGATACTTGAATATACTTAAAATGTCGAAAGTAGGTCATCGTGACCTACATTTTTGTCGACATTTTCCGAAGACCCAAGATGCATCTACTGACCATGTTTGATGATCGTCTGAAGGTATTCAAAATATGCATTTTAAACAATTTGAAAACAAATGTCGGCAAAATTCGAAAAGTAGGTCACATTGACCTACTTTTTCATAAATATGTTTTAAGGACCCAAGATGCATCAAAGTACAAAATTTTATGATTCTAAACCTCCCTGTGTCTGAAATAATGGGATTTTAAGTTTTTAAAAAGAGTCATAAAGTTCAAAAAGTAGGTCACGGTGACCTACTTTTAAGTTGACATTGTTCGAAAACCCATTAAGGCAAGATGTATCAGTTGACAAAGGTTGATGATCATAGGCCTTAAAGTGTCCAAAATATGGCTTCAAATCAATTTGAAAACAAATCCCCGCAAAATTTAAAAAGTAGGTCACTGTGACCTACTTTTGAGTTAGCATGATGTGAAGTCGTAAGATGCATCAACTTACAAGATTTGATGATCCTAGTCCTTATAGTAAGCAAAATATACATGTTTTCATTAAGTGTAAATTTAAGTCAACTTTGAAGTGACCTTGAGACCACGCCCTTTGCCCCAGGGTAATTCCCCATGCAAATTTTAATCTTCGACATATCCTGATCCTTGTTTGTAAGTTTGGTGAAAGTCTGCCTGGCGGTTATGGAGAAGAAGATTTTTTAGCAGCCAGTACTTTTGGTTTTGTTTTCCTGATTATCTCCCCTTGTTTAAGGGTCCCAACCCTTATTTTAGTATAAATGGTAGCCCTTGGGCCAAGGATACCCTGTGACAAATTTGGTACTGATTGGCCAAGGGGTTCTTGAGTTATGGCCCATTATCTAAAAAGTTTACGCACACCGCACAAATGGCCATAGCATTAGCTCTTTGAGCCTTTGGCTCAGAAGAGCTAAAAATAGACTGTCCAATGAAATAACTCCTTTAAAAGCGTAGTTTGGGCTGAGAACAAAGATGGCGGATCTCGAAAAGAAAATATGTGAAAAATTCTAATTCAAATTTACATTCTATGTAAAACTTTGATTCCCCATTGTGGCCCCGCACAACCCCGGGGGTCATGATTTGAACAATTTAGAATCTACACTAACCCAGAATGTTTCCACATAAGTTACAGCTTTTCTGGCCCAGTGGTTCTTGAGAAGAAGATTTTTAAAGATTTTTCCTTTATATTTCTATGTAAAACTTTGATTTCCCATTGTGGCCCCGCACAACCCCTAGGGGGTCATGATTTGAACAATTTAGAATCAGGGATTTTCCACTACCCCGTGTAGGGCCGAATATGGGCCCCATTCCCAATTGCAAAACCCCTACCTTTTTCCCAACAAGAGGCCAATGGGCCACATCGCTCACCGGAGCATTGTGGCTAGGAAAAAGTAGTAATTGGTTTACTATTGAAAAGTTTGAATCCAAAAGTTTGGCCCCACCCTACCCCCGGGGGTCATGATTTGAACAAACTTGAATCTACACTACCTGAGGATGCTTCCATATAAATATGAGCAATTATGGCTTTGCTATTCTTGAGAAGAAGATTTTTAAAGAATTTTCCTATATATTTCTATATAAAACTTTGGTCGGCCATTGTGGCCCCGCCCTACCCCCGGGGGTCATGATTTGAACAAACTTGAATCTGCACTACCTGAGGATGCTTCCATATAAATATGAGCAATTATGGCTCTGCTGTTCTTGAGAAGATTTTTAAAGAATTTTCCTATATATTTCTATATAAAACTTTGGTCGGCCATTGTGGCCCCGCCCTACTCCCGGGGCTCATGATTTGAACAAACTTGAATCTACACTACCTGAGGATGCTTCCATATAAATATGAGAAATTATGACTGCTGTTCTTGAGAAGAAGATTTTTAAAGAATTTTCATATATATTTCTATATAAAACTTTGGTCGGCCATTGTGGCCCCGCCCTATCCCCAGGGGTCATGATTTGAACAAATTTGAATCTACACTACCTGGGGATGCTTCCATATAAATATGAGCAATTCTGGCTTTGCTGTTCTTAAGAAGAAGATTTTTAAAGAATTCTCCTATATATTTCTATATAAAACTTTGGTCGGCCATTGTGGCCCCGCCTACCCCCGGGGGTCATGACTTTAACAAATTTGAATCTACACTACCTGGGGATGCTTCCATACAAATATGAGCAATTATGGCTTTGCTGTTCTTGAGAAGAAGATTTTTAAAGAATTTTCCTATATATTTCTATGTAAAACTTTGGTCGGCCATTGTGGCCCCGCCCTACCCCCGGGGGTCATGATTTGAACAAACTTGAATCTACACTACCTGGGGATGCTTCCATATGAATATGAGCAATTATGGCTCTGCTGTTCTTGAGAAGAAGATTTTTAAAGAATTTTCCTATATATTTCTATATAAAACTTTGGTCGGCCATTGTGGCCCTGCCCTACCCCCGGGGGACATGATTTGAACAAACTTGAATCTACACTATCTGAGGATGTTTCCACATAAGTTTCAACTTTCCTGGCACAGTGGTTCTTAAGAAGAAGATTTTTAAAACATACCACCAAATTTTCACTAATTCTCAATTATCTCCCCTTGAATAAGGGCATGGCCCTTTATTTGAACAAACTTGAATCCCCTTCACCCAAGGATGCTTTGTGGCAAGTTTGGTTGAAATTGGCCCAGCGGTTCTTGAAAAAGTCGAAAATGTGAAAAGTTTACGGACAGACAGACAGACGGACAGACAGACAGACGGACAGACGGACGCCGGACAAAATGTGATCAGAAAAGCTCACTTGAGCCTTCGGCTCAGGTGAGCTAAAAATGAACTGCCTATATTCAATTTTTGAAAGAACTCACAAAATACAAACATGTTTAGGTTTGGAAATTCGAATGAAATGATCAAAATTTTGAAGACTCTTGGGTTAAACTTTATTATAATGATCAATTCTCTGACTCATAGTTCTGAATAACTACTAGCAGTAAGTAAAAGATCAATTTTTATTCATCTTAATTATTTATTACTTGAAAAACATCATACAATAAAATTTCCCAATAAGTGATAAAATGTTGTAAAATTCCCAATTCCAAGGGCCTGGGCCCCATTCCCAAAAGTGAGTGGAAAATCCCTGAGAATCTACACTACCCCAGGATGCTAGCTTCCACATAAGTTTCAGCTTTTCTGGCTCAGTGTCTTATGCATTTATAGGTTGTACATGCAAATGTGGCTGGCTAACGAAAGATACAATGTAGCGGTAATGTATACTTTCTTATGTAGCGGTAATGACTATGTAGCGGTAATGAAAATTTTGAAAATGTAGCGGTAATGATACGCATCCCCTACAGGTGTCGGGTGAGATCTAGCTTCAAAAATAGTTGAATGACTACTCTCTATCATCTGTTGACCTACATGTTAAATCATGCAGTAAACCAAAACGTCTTCGATTCTTGCACCTGTTTATCCAAAGCAACACAAGTACCTATTTCTAACGATGAAAAATGTAGAGGCGTCCCAGAATTACATGGAAAATTTCTGATCTCTCTAGATTTTCCATGTAATTTCGGGACGCCTTTACATTTTTCAACAATAAATATCTGTACTTCTGTTGCTTTTGATTGCTGCGCTTGGTATCAAGAACGTTTGGGTTTACTGCATGTTTTATTCAGCAAGTTCAAATCAACAGACGTATGAAAGGCGTTATTTGATCATTTTTGAAGCTAGAATTCTCACCCGACACCGGTAGGAAAGGTGTAGATATAGATGAAAATTAAGTGTGAACCGAGGCACCCCCTGATTTTCAAGATGGAGAGTGGTGCTCCTTTCCTCTTTTTATATCCAGTAAACATGGTAAATTTGACATTTTTAAAACATGCTTATTTCTGAGAATTTTTATTTTTATTTTAAAGAGGGTATTCAGACACACCTAGAAAAACATGATATAATACTCAAAAAACACCATCCCGAAACCAAGCGAATAACGTTATGCTGTCTTCCTGGATGCAGATTAGTTAATAAAAAGCAAAATTTTGAAAGTTGCATGTAAATCGTGAAATAAAGCTACATGAATTAACTATATAATGCTACGTAAGTAATTCTAGCTACGTAGCTAAATTTGGTGATTGTGCTGGAACTAAATTATACGCCAGAATTATGGACAAAAATTTGTAAGGTCTAACCGTCTAGTAGATAGAATGTTCTATCGTTAAAATGATATTGTCCTACGGACCCGGTTTAACGATAGAATTCGTTCCGTGTATTCGTAATGTAGCAGAAAGAAACACGGGCGATAACTCGCATAGTGCATTTACTAGGAACAATCTAGAGAGTTCCGAATGTAGTAATTTGAATCGAGAGAAAAACGTTGAGAAAATTAATTGGATTTTCGTATATATATGGATTATTTTATGGGATAAAAGGCATAAGCAATCTCAAAAAGGTTTGTTTTGATTATTTTGGTAGTTATTCCCAGTGCAAATAATTTTATATTCTTCAAAATCGTTTCGGAGCGGATCCGCTCCGATTTGCTACATTACAAGTATATGGGACGTATTCTAACTGTGGTGAGGGCCTGTACCGAGACACAGTTAGATTATTCTAACTAACTGTCTAGGACTACTGGTAAATACGACTCACCTATACTTTGAAAATAGTTGTTTAGGAGAAACATTGCCTCCATTTGGGCTTTGTCCATCTTTTTGATATCTTCAATATTTTTATCGTGGCATAAGGTTAAAAATTCGAGTCCAGGTCGGAACAAGGTAGAGAAGTTAACGTTCAATGACCTCACTTCATGTTTCAACTCTTCTTCTTCCCTCTCCATCTTTATCATGTCAAACTTACAATCTGCATCAGTAAATGATCTACTCTCTGTTGCATTACATTTTCCTATTTCCAAAACTGCAAATTTCATTTTATGCAAATGAGGGATTGCCAGGAAAATACCTTTGTGTAACCGTAACGAAACATTTTTCGTGTTCAGCCATTGCTTTCCCACAATCCTCTCGGCGGTGTTCAGTCAACTCGTACACAAACCGTCTCGTACACAAACCCAGTCATACACAAAAAGTCTGCTCGTACACAGCTCGTACACAACGTTTTATTTTAGTTAAGAATTATTTTATATAAATAATGTATAATCTAGAAAAAATGAAATAACGATGAGGAGAAGCGTTAATTTTTTAGATTTTTTCACGAATACCTTTGTGGTTTTATAACATTTGGAATCGACCGTGGCTTCTCTTATTGGGAATACATGTGTATAAACAATTATTGTTAAACTAACACAAGCGCGGCGTTTCTTTGATTTGCAACAAACGCTAATTACGAAATGCTCCTAATTTGGTCCCAATTTCTTCATTTCTTTATCTTCCCCAGTATCTTTATTGACGTATGTATTACATACATGTATATATTGCCGGAATATGCATTATTTATAGCCATTGGTCAACAGGTATTACACTGGTGCTATAACATAATAATAAAGAATATGTATGGAAAGAAGCAAGTAACAAGATATGTTTGTGAAACACTGATGGCAACATAGCAATGATTAAACTTTTCTTAATTAAACAGTGTTGAATGCAAACTCACTGGAAATACAATTTTGAAATATGAAAGTAGGCCAAGGTTGAAATTTTTTCATGAGTACGGAAATCTCCAAGGTCAAGGTCAAAAGACTGTTGGTATCCAATGAAAGGTCTTTCCCCAAAGAATACATATGCGAAGTATACATGTCCTGGTATTAGCTGTTCAAAAAATATGGTCAAAGTAAAAGTTTGGAATTTTTGTGTAAAAGTGGGTCAAACTCCAAGGTCAAGGTCAAAGGGTCAAATTTGGTGGTGCCCAAAGAAAGGTCTTGTCACAAGGAATACACATACACAGGTTAAAGTTTTTGCGGACAAAAAGAAAAACAGACAGTCACAGACAGATGGACGGACATGACAACAACTATATATCCCCTAAACTTCACTTAGGGGACGACCATTTGATTCTGAGGGGGGGGGGGCAGATTTTGGAAATAAATAATCTGTCCCTGAAAATGTTGAAAATAAATAATCTGTCCTTGACTTATGATATTTAAATATTGTGAAAATACCTTTTTATTTACGTTCAATTTAACCTCAGAATCTTCAATTCAGCATTTTTTTTGGCTCGCTTCGCTCGCCATTTTAGAACCAAATAGTATTTAAAATCAGATTACCAGACTGGATACTTGTAGTCAGTTGATCAGCATGGCAATGTGCACTCAGTAGATGTGATGAATCACTTTAAATACAAGCCAATTCTTAAACACCACAAAAGATAAATTTTCTTGTCAAAAAAGTATACTTCCCGATAAATTAATACAAAGTATACAGTGGCGGATTATAAGGAAGGCGTACATCTGTATGATCCCTCCCCTAAAATTTCAAAGTATGATATGAATAATATTGATAATGCCATACTTTGGTACAATACCACTATTTTGTGCCTAGTTTTACTCTTAAAATACACAAATACCCAAGAGCTTCAGGGGGCTCCGCCCCCTAGGCCCCCTTCATTCAAAGTATGATATGACTAGTATTAATTATGTCATACTTTGGAACATTTAACTAACCAATTCCTACATAATTGTGCCTGGTTTTACTCTTAAAATACACAAAAACCCATGAGCTTCAGGGGGCATCACCCCCTGGACCCCCTTCATTCAAAGTATGACATGACCAATATTAATAATGCCATACTTTGGTACATTATAACCAATACCACTACATGTATAGTTGTCCTGGTTTTATTCTTAAAATACCCGAAAACCCAAGAGATTCTGGGGAATTTCCCTCCCTTGGCCTCAACCAGTTGCTTCACCCAGGACCTACTGGGGGCCTTAAGGCGGCCCCAGACCTCTTGCTTGAACGAAGTTATACACGCCAGTAGTATAAGCATCCTAGCTAGGGGCGGAAGTGACGTCATAACCGGAAGTGGACGGAAGTGGGCTAGCCGGAAGCGGAAGTGGCCGGAAGTGGTCTAGCGGAAGTGGGCCCTAGCGGAAGCGGAAGTGGGCTAGCCAGAAATATCCTAGCCGGAAGCCGGCTGGATGACCGGGTCAACTGAGTGCATCCCCTGGGGGATAGCCGGATCAACTCAGTACAGTCCCCCTGGGGGATAGCTGGGTCAGGAGAGTGTAGATGGTGGGGATAGGTGGGTTAATTCATTACATATAGTCCCCCCTTAAATACTGGGTGTTTACACTATGTTTACATTTTACTATACGCTTCTACTACGATTCACAACGTTGCTACTACTATTTTTTGGCAACGATTCAAGAATGTCATTATGACGTCACGCTTCACAGTCTAGCTTCATTTTTTGAAAACCTCATTACCAAGAAACAAAAGTGAAACTAACACAGATTTTGATTTTTATTCAATTTTTATTCACAATGAAAAAAAAAATATACATACAATTTACATTTTCTGTTTCTTCTTCTGTCCCTTCTCACTGGTCAGGGGTAGTTTCCTTTTGTGTGTTCTGGGTGGACACTCCTCTATTTTTCTCCTTTTTGTAGGCTACTTCTTTCACTAACTGGTCTGTCTCCCTTCCTAGATCGCTAATCTTTTCCATCACTTCTTTCACTAACTGGTCTGTCTCCCTTCCTAGATCGCTAATCTTTTCCATCACTTCTTTCTCTAACTGGTCTATCTCCCTTTCTAGATCACTAATCTCTGTCAGCGCTTCTTTCTTTTTATTTAGGATAAGGCACAAATGACTTCTTTCATCTAGATCTAAAAGATCCTGTGTTTCTGGTACAGTCTCCTTTGTATTTTCCTCTGCCATATTTTACCTCTTTCAAGTTAAAAGTATTCACACAGAATGATCCTCTATGTCCAACTCTGGTTTATATATAGCATGGATTTTATTTTTAGGGCCGTGTGCAAAAGAAATATACGTTTTACCTACGTTTTCTTATATATATACCTGTTTGCATCACCTGTAAAGTACCGTGTGCAAAACACTGAGGGTCGTGTGCAAAAGAAATATACCTTTTTACCTGTGTTTTCTTATATACCTGTTTGCATCCTCTGTAAAGTGCCGTGTGCAAAAAAAAATTAGGGTCGTGTGCAAAAGAAATATACCTTTTACCTGTGTTTCCTTATATTCCTCTTGCATCATCTATAAAGTGCCGTGTGCAAAAAGTACGATAAAACTTACCTATACATTGTGACGTCATTCACTGTATAAATATAATGTGATTATGACGTCACACTTTTTCATTTACAGTCTAGACAGCCTAGTCTAGCCAGCCTAACCGGTTTGAACTGATTTTTTTTTTTTTTACTGAAAGACAATAACAAATAACACACAATACAAAAAACATGTGTGTGTTATGTCTGTCAAGTTATAACACCAGGTCACTTTTTTAAAAAACTTAGAATTTCTTTTTAAATTTTTAAAACTTTTTTTTAAAAAACTTATAAATTTTTTTTAACTTTTTAAAAATAACTTTAATTTTTTTTTTCTTATTAATTTTTTTTTTTTGGTAAACTCCCCTTATAGTTTTTAAGAAATAAAATTAAAAAAATCATGTAATACTACATCAGTGTTATGTTATTGTATGGATCCGGGCCACAATTAAAGGGTGAAGGTCAAATGGCTAAAACGTAGCACATGTAGGAAATTCATATGCCTCCCTTTCAATGATAAAAATAAAAATAGCTCACATGTTTTAGATACTTTTGGGGTATAGAATAAAAGTAGAGTGTCTAAAGTTTACAATGATATGCAGCAAGGTGCATTTCAAGCAAAAATTATGCCTAGAAATATGAATTGAAAAGAGCATTCATTTGGTTTGTTTACACTTTTTTTGCCAAGCGAGAGCTATCCTGAGGTCATGACGTCAGAAGTTTATTAATAACCAGGGAATTCCACATTCAACACCCCTATTTCTGGATGTGAATATTTATCTGACACGTTGCTCTATCATGTGGTCAAAGATATTTTGGAAATGAAGATTTTTAAAAAAGTTACAAAGAAAATAAAACACATGTTTTTACTATATAAGTCTATATGTAAGCTAATTGTGGTCCGGGTCCTTATGATGGGGTGTTTGAGGGACTCCCCTGAATTTATTTTTAAAGATATGACAATGAAATTTTGACCATAGGGGCTTGTCTTCCGGATTGATAAATGTAAAATAATTTTTCAAAAACTTTTATCTACATTAAATACACTCTAAAAATTGCTTTAATAAAGATTCTGACATGATCAGGCAAGAAAAAAATGTTTTTAAAAAAAGTACTACACCTATATACATAAACTCTCTATGTATATAGTAGATAGAATGTTCTATCGTTAAAATGATATTGTCCTACGGACCCGGTTTAACGATAGAATTCGTTCCGTGTATTCGTAATGTAGCAGAAAGAAACACGGGCGATAACTCGCATAGTGCATTTACTAGGAACAATCTAGAGAGTTCCGAATGTAGTAATTTGAATCGAGAGAAAAACGTTGAGAAAATTAATTGGATTTTCGTATTTATATGGATTATTTTATGGGATAAAAGGCATAAGCAATCTCAAGAAGGTTTGTTTTGATTATTTTGGTAGTTATTCCCAGTGCAAATCATTTTATATTCTTCAAAATCGTTTCGGAGCGGATCCGCTCCGATTTGCTACATTGCAAGTATATGGGACGTATTCTAACTGTGGTGAGGGCCTGTACCGAGACACAGTTGGATTATTCTAACTATGTATATAGGTGTAGTACTTTTTTTAAAAACATTTTTTTCTTGCCTGATCATGTCAGAATCTTTATTAAAGCAATTTTTAGAGTGTATTTAATGTAGATAAAAATTTTTGAAAAATTATTTTACATTTATCAATCCGGAAGACAAGCCCCTATGATTTTGACAGGAGGTGAGTTATACATTTTGAAATAGTTTCATAAATTTTTTTAAAAAAAATTTAAGCATTTTAAAATTAATTTTTTTTTAAATTAAAATTTTTTGAGTGATTGAAAAAAATATTAAATTATGCATCCCAGAATGAAGATAGTTCCTTTTTAAAAATAGAAAAACTGTTTTGTAATGTGTATTTGCATGTGTATTCTTAATAAGGGGTCCCTTTGAAGTCATAGATGAAAGACGAGGTGTTTATTGGAAATGACAGACAAGCTATCCATTGATTCCCCCCACCCAAAATAAGGCGCAATAAGAAGGTGGTGATTGGGCCAATATATTTACAATAACATGTGCATGGATTTATTTTGCAGGAGAACACGTGGAAGTGGGATTCAGGCTTTGCCCGACTCATAATTGCATATGCAGGCAGAGGTTGTGTATTGGAGTTTATAATTTCAGGTGAGTGGAAATTATATTATGTTGTGTAAAAATATGTACTTTTCACTAAAATAGAAATGGGGGTTGATGGGTTTGTCATTTCAAGGAAGGTGGGGGGGGGGATATATAGTTTGTAGTTTTTGACAAAAACATTGATCAGTAAGTAAGTATGTATGGATGGATGTATGTATGTATGTATGTACGTACATGTGTGCGTATGTGTATGATGTGTCTTATGTATTTATGTGGAAGTTTTGGGTTGTGGCCTGGTGTTAATTTTACACGTTTCTTATATACGACTTTGTATAGTAGGTATCTTTTCGAATAATTTGGTTGGCCCTAAGAAGGGCCGTTTTGTCTTTGTCTTGGCAACTCATGTCTGGTAGTAGGTGTGATTCTCTGGATTGCCTCCCTTGGACTGTAGGCTGGTGGGTTTGGGATCAAGTTGCCCTTTGTTGTAGGTGCACCCGGGTTTGGTCTTTCCTTTTCTAGCCGCCGCATGTTGTTTCATTAGCGTAGCTTTTCTCTGCATTTCTCACCTTTTAACTGCTTTAATTTCTCTTTCTGTATTCTCTGCGATAGGCATATTCCTGGTCAATGCTTTTTAGGTACTGATGTGTGTGGCCGGACAGTGGCAATGTAATCTCTGCTGCTTTCATTGATGTTGCTAGTCCCGGACTGTTGTTTTGTCTTAAAATCTCAGCTGAGAGGATTCCTTCAGCATTTCTTGAATAGTTGGTGTGCTTAGGCAATACTTCGCTGACTGCTCTGTTAAGACCCTCACATTTCTGAGTTGACGTGTTGAGTTTCATTTCCTCAATGGCACTTTGGCTAAGTCGCATCTCAAGAATGACTTTTAACAAGTGCTTGTCATTTTCATTCAGGTGCAGGGATGTCGATCAGTTTGTTCGGGGCGAGGATATAAGACTGATTCCACCAGTTGTGTCTGTCTCCACCTTCACACACCACTGAATTCCTTCGACATTTTGAACAGTCTCCTGAGTAGCAGAGGATGGTACTTTCTACGACAAGAGGAAGTTTACTACAGATGATGTTGATGTCTCCAGTGTAGGTATCCATGAGTTTCTTATAGACTATAAGCTGCACCGGGCCTTTACATCTTGTGCAAAAACTTTTCTCATCTGGTCTAACCTCATTCTTGTTTTGCAGGGAAACATCTCGGGGCTGAAGTGGGCACTGCGACACTGCCGGAACTGGGCTCTGCTGACATGGGTTGGGTCGGCCAGTCGAGTGACTTGCCAGTCTGGATGAAAAATTCGCATGGCATCTTGGAATCCCTGGGCTGACCGGGCATCACCGTCTGTTGTGGCGTGCTTCACCTTGAACCCGTCCGCTGCCAGATCTTCGCCTATGGATTTAGCCATCTCGTACTCTGAAAGAGGTGAGAACATTTCAATATTAGCTGTGCAGTCTTCATGACCCCCCGGACAATGAACATCATAACCATTAGCTGCAATAATGTATATAGCCCTCTCCGATTTTTTTATTTGATATTTTCTGGAGAGGGCTACAATTCCATCGCATCTCCGTAATGGTGCAAATATATTTTTTGATACGGGTGATTGGAGGCAAAATAAATTATTTTTACATTAAACTTACTTCTTATAAGACGGAATTTTTATTCACTGTCAACAACATAGCCTGTTAAACTCAAAAACCATGTAAAATAAATCTGTGTCTTTCCCAGCTGCAATATTCAGCAGCCATGACAGTTCACGCGTGATGTAGTGAGACTTTCGCTTGAAATTTGGAACAACCAAATAAAGCAAATGTCGATGTTTATAAACGATTGTGCTATAATTTATTACAAAAACATCGATAAATGAAACCATTTCAAGTTTTATTTTTGCGCAAACAGCGATACGTATGCTTAAAATAAGGGAATTCCTAGTAGATCCGCTCCTATAGAACCTAAATTCTCATTGGCTGTCCCAAAATACAATCCATCAAGGTCAGTAAACATGGCGGATAAATTCAAGTTAAGCTGTTGACACACACGAAAAATAACCGATATATGGATCGTTGTGAATATTTTTGGATCGATTTATGTTTTGCATAATTACATATTTGGATTCCAGGTAAGAGATGATAATAAAATAGCCGTTTACTGATAATTTGAGCCGAAATCCGTGCGGGAGTGATCCACTGCCGCATCTGCGCCATTATAGAGATCCCAAGGAGTTGTAGCCCTCTCCCAAAAAAAAAAAAAAAAAAAAAAATCGGAGAGGGCTACATTATTGCAGCTACATAACCATTACCTCGAAGCCATGTTCCAGTCCAGCAAAGTTTGTTCTGCATTGATCATGTTGATGCGCCAATAATATACTGTTTGTTGGTGTTGGTCTCGCATGCAATGGCGTAAGCTTGTGATGCATTGTAGCCTGGCTTTTTGCTGCTACCGAAGGTTATGGAGTTGTAGCGTCCATCTATGGCAATGTCCAGTTCCTCTGGATGTTCTTGACCTTTGACCTGGTTG